AACTAGTTACAGTTGTATCAGATTACAGGCACACGAAAGAAAAGTTAAACCCAAAGATTTGACACATGTTTCTCTATGTATGTTCCCGCGCGGAACTTTTAAAACCCCCAAAGCACACTCAAATTTACAATTACAATTTGGTTTTCGCGATTTAAAAAAAGGAAGGTGATGGTGCAATACTGGCGTCAGATTCGGATTTATGCGTTGACATCATGTGTCGTCTTTGCATCAGACAACATCCACTCCCTCCCCCCCCCCCCAAAAAAAAATCACGGCGTTTTTTCGCAATTAAAACAATAGGGGTGGTGACGCAATTCTATTTCAAGACTTAGGATTCAACGCATCGAAATACAAAAAGAAACGTGTCTTAAGTGTGTGTTAAACGTGTGTAACTCCAGAAAACAAATATCATAATGGTTTTTTCTACAAAAAGATAAAGTGGTGGCGCAATTGTGGTTTTAGATTCGGATTCAGTTCGTCCGTTGATAAACATATGTGAAGTCTTAGGGTCTGGCGACGTTTTTGGGGTGTTTGTGTGGTTGCTTTTGTTTTGCTTGTGTTAGTGAATATAGATTTTAATACATTTTACAACAGTGAATTTACATCTTATGTGTATAATAGTTATTATATGTATATTATAAAAAAGTTTGTGGTAAATATTTTGCAGGGCACTTTTAAGCTAGACTTTTAAGCAAAAATTGGAATAAAATGTGCAAGAAGATTTCAAATTTAAATATGTTGAATTTTGTTACACATCGAACTAAACGTAGTGAATATCTAGAACAGGCTACAACCTATTTTGTCAAATACTAAGGACGGCCAAGGCGATGAAATAATAAGGCATGTTTTCATACGTAGGTGAAAGTGGCTTCCAACATTTTATTTCATTATGAAATCAACGATTTTTATATATTTTATTGTAATATGATACTTTCCAAATATTTTAATATTTTTATGTAATAAATAAAAGGTTATATGAAGTGGGTTGGTAATGAAATATAAATATTGTGTATTTAATTTTCCATTTATCATACTGCCCGCGTATTTCGCAAATAACCGTGTATCTCATAACATGTTATTATGTGCATGGTCAAGGGAAAAATTATCGTTTTATAGAATATTTGTTTCGTGCTGAAATCTGACAAAACTATACTACGTATAGAAAATAATGTATTTTCCTCACATCAGACATGGGCGACCTAGATTTGCATATTTGGAGTTGCTATCACGAGTTCAACTGCGTAACACTTCTGAATGACAGCAAATTGCAAAATTTGAGAATGCCTGTCAGTCATTCTCGTTTTCTGAGATGTTGTAGACTCCGTAATTAATAACCTTCTTCGAATGCTGCTTTATGATGTCTTTATTTCCTCCATTCATGACAATACCCTGCCCCTCCAGTACATGTTTACGTTGTATTTGTCATGCATCTATAGAAATCCGCCACTTGTTTTTACAAAAGATAGTCTCACAACGTTTATAAGTAACACTATTTATGCATTCCTCTAATTCTTTAACAAGTACTAATAACTAATAAGTATGTAACGATATTATAAAATCACTTTAAATTACGATTTTTACTTTCTCGCGCTTAAGAAATTTCTTAATAAGAGGAAGTTATGTAATGCTGCGCGAAAAACGGCGAATTCTTGGCAGAAAAAGTTGATAAATCCAGTTACTAAATTTAGAAAAATCCTCTCTAACGCATGGTGTAGCCACAATCCATAAGTTGTGAGTGCTTGAAACCTGGAAGTCGATTGACATCAAAAACGTCTTTCTGTCCGTCTATTAACAATGCTAGCGGCTAAACTGTTCTGCTGATTTTCTACAAAATTGATATTCCCCAATGGATATGGCTGATGTCATGACCCATTGAATTTAAAATCGGTGTTTTAATTTTGGCAGTACTTTACATGAAGCCCCTAAAACATTTTCCAAAAATTACACCATCGATTTTGATTAAATGTTGTTGGATACACGAAAAAAGGACAGTTTCATTATACCAGACCCATGATACTGTAACAAGTTTTCTTGAAATAGTATCATGGATCTGGTATACTGCAAATGTTCTTTTTTTCGTATAGAATAAAGGACGTGTAAAAGAGGGACGTGTAAAGGACGTGTCAGAGTTTAGGTAAAAACACTGATTTGTCAAAAATTGAAAATTTTCAAACTTTTTTCGGCATCTTCCTACAACTAAAATATTAAAGGAAGAGATTTTGTTCCTTAATAAAATGTTCCTTATCGATAGCTTTTAAAATAAGGCTATGTACACTTTTCGTGTAATTTTGCGTGAAAGTAGGGACAAGAAAGTACGTGCTGTTTTTGTATCACAAGTTCTCTAATGGTATTCGTAAGAATTGGATAATACCGGATAGATTTTATAATTGCGTGCCCTTGAAATGGCTTATTTTCATACAAACTGATTTATTTTACCTTTTTTGAAAATCCATCCTCTATCCGAGATTAAATTTGCTGTACTGGGTTTTGGAGGTTTTTGCGCAGGAGAAAAAGTTACGTGATCTATTTTTTTACTTCAATATCAGTATTTTATTTCTTCGTTACACATTCATTATAAACGCAGCTTTTATTGCTGAAACTGTTAAGAAAATTACATAAATAATTCGATGCATTTATAGTATGTCGCCATTCTGTGTAAGTAACAGGTCAAGGCGTTACATCCTTGTCTTCGATGTGCATTAAGAGTCATGTACGATTTTTTTTTAAATTGAGTATTTTTCGCGTTATTTAGAATGAAATAGAGGCAATTTTTAAATTTACTTTAAGCAAATGTTTTTCAAAACGGCGTCATTATTTTTGACGAATGGTAGATAGTATGAAAGACGTTTAAAAAAATGGTGCAGGTCTGATTTTGTTTAAAAACTTGGCTTTTTCAAAAATTAAAACAAAAATTCGGAGTGTTCCTACACCTACAATTATGAAGATACAATTTTTTTCTTAATGAAATGTGTGTATCAAAACCGATTTTTAAATGAGAACATTTTTTCGAAAATATTAGTTTTTTTTATGTAATTGAGCGTCAAATTTAGTCGCCCGCTCTGCGCTTCCTTATCGTAATTTTAGGTGTTTTGAGGCAGTTTAGGCAAGTTAAAATGTGTATATTAGTTCATATTTCTTTAACCGTTTTTCACATTTGATCCTGTGTTATACGTTTACAAATTAACCTTTTAGAAATTATTTTAAACCTATTTGAAATAAAAATTGCTACCCTTCAGTCGCCCGCTCCCAATTTACGCAGTTGGTTGCTACTAAAGTATATTATTTCATTTTATTATTAATACTATTTATTATATTATATTTATGTTATTTTATTTTAAACTGCGTCCTTTAATTGTGTTAAATGTGAAAACGAATAGATGAGCGGTCATTATTGGTCAACCATTGTTGTAACGCTGCACAGATTAAAAAAGTCGATGATGAGGGCTGTTTTTATTTGCGATAATAAAAACAAATCCTTTTATATATTTGTAGAATATTACGATATCATAGTGTTTAATAATAACTATTATATATTTTTCAATCTGTGTGTTTTCCAGCGCTATCAGTATCGTATTATTTATTAACTTTTAATTAATTTTTCTTCTTATTTTTCGCACCAAATGTTCTACGATTTTAAATGAGTTTTAGAAAAAATAATTCGTTGACAAATTGTATAAATAGTATACATGTCCATTACTAATGACGAGAAAGTACGTGCTGTTTTAGTACAATTCATTTGTCTGTAAATCATTGTGTAATAGCAACGTTTTATAATATTATTCGTGTAGCTTCTTAATAATTGTTGTAAATAGTTCTGTATTAAAATTTTTACAATACATCGTAGTTGAAATCAGTTTTGCTCTTCTCTATGTGAAGAATTTATTTAATAAGATTAACATTTAAATTTGTAGTCACATAATTTTTTAAATGTCGTTCAGTTCCTTTTTTAAATTTTGCACAATCGAAACACATACTTCAATTATTTGTACTGAATAATTTTATTCATTGAATCCAATTTTAATTTATTCATAAAACGTCGTCTAAAAGCATAAATAAAATTATGCAATATTTTTGGAGGAAGTATTTATTGTTCTCCAAAGTTTGAAAAAAGGTGACTGAAGAATATTTAAAAATAATTAATTTTTATCCTGTGTTTTAACAATGTAGTTATTTGACATTACAAAAATTGATAAACATTTCAAATATATTTTTCTTTTTGATTTGAGATTGGGAATTTATACCTCATAAGAGCTGGCTGCTACGGCTCCGACCTCGTAGAATATATTGCATAGCTAAATGATTCCCTATTATTGCTGTATTGTATCTCCTTCCGCTGTCCGCAGTTACCTCTCAGTTCCGTTTTCATGTACTCTTATCGCCATTCAGCCATAATCATTGCGGAGCTCTCACCCTGAAACAATATACTCCCCACCCAATCGTCCAACTGCTAAGACAAATGATGTCTGAATTATACTCATTGCTTAATATTCTGCTATTCCCACCATCCATACCATACTTACGAGTGAAAGGGCCTGTCATTCACAATATTCATAACGTGTGGTTGTCAATCATAGTAAAATTTTACCTCCATACATTTGTATGTTGCCATTCAATGCTTCATATTGAAACTGCAAATTGCAATTCAAATTGCAATATGCAAATTCAATTCTTTAAAAGTTCAATGTATAGTGTGTGTGACAAAATGTCAGCGGTGGAATCATCATGCGTTTTAAAGGTATGTACGAATACATTACAGAATAACACTGTTATACTTGAAAAAAAATTGTATTTGTACTCGTGGCACCGCGGGTACCTTGACGGGTGATCTTTTGGGAAACCCGGGAACAGCGTCGAGCTCTTGGCCGGAAGGATAAAAATCAATGCCTGACGCCGTCTAAGTAAACGGATGATTACTCCGCATTCGATGCCAGTACGTTATAGTACGATTATAGAACGTTGTTACGAGAAAATAACAGGCCTTAATAATATTAGTAACCTACCTTTCGTTAGCGGCGTCAGCAGCAGATAGTGGACCATGGCCGCACCCGCGCTCTCGCCGAAGACTGTCACCTGTTCAGGGTTTCCTCCGAACGTTTTAATGTTCTTCTGTACCCAGTGGAGAGCCTGCACAGCGTCCTTTAGGCCCGCGTTCCCAGGTGCCTCCTTATCTTCTGTGTTCAAGAATCCTGTGTGCACACATTCATAGATAAATGTCAATAATAAACGGATGTTAAGCAGTTTGTTTGAATGATTAATTTAATTATTGTATTTAGTTAATATATACACGTGTTCATGTTACACGTGTATTGACAGGTGGTCTAAAGCATTCTCCTATCGATAGCACTTCTAAAATCAAAACGACGAAAGAACACCAAATTCAAATGATTTTTTTTTCATATTTAAAATATATGGGGAGGTAAGAAATTTCAGAAATACAAAAAATATTATTAGTTGTACTATGATCTAAGTGTATGATGATATTTACATTTTCCAGTAAACGCCTGAACTTTAAATATATAAAAGTAAACACCTAAATTTTAATTTAATTTCTTGTCTTTGTTTTTGAATAACATTATTGTTTCAAAAGTATCATAAAAATTAAAATCCCCAACAAAAATCCCTAAACAAATTTTCGGTCTCGAAAATTGCCAGTAATGGCCAAAAAACACCCAGTTTAGGGATAAAAACCCCTAGTCTGGTAACACTATAATTGTATTCCATATACAAATACACATGTTGCGAGCTTAAAACACGTTCTGGTGGGCGCGGTGCTTTGCTGGAAGATACCTGAATGCACACGTTGGAGGACTTACCGAGGACGCCTAGACGATAGTTAAAAGACACCAAAACGACTTCTTGGCGCAGGATGGAGTCCGGGCGCATGCGGTCCAAGTCCCCCGAGCCAACAATGAAAGCGCCCCCATGGACGAACACTGCGACCGGTCGTTTCACTTCCGGCCAGGATTCCGGCGGCTGTCAGAACAGACGAACAGATCAAATAGAGTAGCCGATCCTATTATTACTACTACCACTACCACTACTACCACTACCACTACCAATACCACTACTACTATTACTATTACTACTACTACTACTACTAATTATTATTATTATTATTTTAATTATTATTAAAATTATAGACATAAAGAGGTCATATTAAGGGTTAAGGCCTTCCGCTCACGCGCGGTGAAAACTTGTAGAATCTAATCTTCCCCTAGCTTAAACCAACAACTTGTTTCTTTACCGGTTCCTGACTCAATCCATCTAAACACTTCACAGACATTATACTAACAGGATTATGTAGTCTATCAATACCAAGCTATAATTGGCCCCACCCATTTCAACGGGGGGGGGGGCTCACGAGCTTAGTCTATTTTTTTTCTATTAATGTTTTACACAACTTTCCTTAATTAATAAATTGAATCATAATTTAATACAATTAAAGAAAACATTTTTCTCTGAAAGAGCCAATAGTCCAATAGTTCTTTATAAAGCATTTGCTTACAAAGTAGGACATAAAACAGTACTATTAATTCCAAAAGGTCTTCTGAATTTTTAGTTTTCGAGTGATTATTTCACACTTTTTTAAATTCACAGCAAAAAAACTTCATAATAACTAAAATTCTAGCAAAGATCTTTAGAATGGCGCAAAGTATTGAATAAATAGCACATATAAAACAATAACACATGATTTCTAACTTCATAAAAAACATTGAATCATGTAAATGAACCACAATCATTTATGGACCTCAGGTCATCACCCACCCCACTTCAGTAATGCAAGAGGTTCCATAAAAGCCTTATTGCGCATCTGAAAAGTATTCCCCCAAAGGTTACTGTCTTGTTCTTTAGCTCGTGAGCCCGATACGGGCCTTGGCCAACCAACGGTAGTCCGGCCTCTCCATCATGCGCCAAATGTTACGGCTAGACTTAAATTACTACTAAACTGTTAATCGTGATTTAGGGTGTATTTACCCGAACTGACTGAAAAATCAAAATAATTTTCATTTATGTGAAGAAACTAGTTTGTAAAATTCAGCTTCAATGTATTCTAAAGCATGCACAGAAATAAAATGATTTTAATTTATTCATAATTTGATATGTTTAAAATAGTCACAAATGGGTTCAAAATGTACTTTCGAGAAATATTTTCTCCGTTAAGAAATTACTAATTGCTGTAACATATTATGCTTAAGAATCATATTTTTTAAATTTAATTTACCCATTGTTTGTATAGTTGTTTACTTGACTTGTGGTTATTTCAAATGGAATGTTTATTTTTAAAGAATTCCAAATCATTTTACAGTTAAATACGAACAAAATACTTCAAGTTGAAGTTTTGTACAATGTATGTTAAAATGTTTTCTTCATTTTATATACAAAAGTATAGTACATTTCATGAAGGCGCGGAAATCGAAAATAGTTCTTTCGTTTAAATAATTCAACACGATATTTTTTATACAGATGTAAAATACTTGTACTAAAATTAAATGTTCTGAAATCTTAATCTTCGTGGCTCATCCACTACTAGGAATAAATCGGTGACACGAATGCCTTACTTACATCTGCCGTGAAAACATTGATGAAGAGACAATCTTCGTCCCCGCTCGTCATATTTGTGAATAATACATCTTTTTGAACACACGTTGAGCCTGGAGCCGTCGCGTTTCTCACTCCAGTCCATGATTCCACTTCCTCGGGAGCCTGAAAGGTGACATTATTAAAAGAAAATGATACATTCAACTAAAAAAATAAATTACCTAGAGAGATTTGAAATATTCACTTTTGGAAACGCATCATAGATAACGGAGATTTCTTATTTTTATGGAACGAAATTGTGTTCCTAATATCAACGATAGACCGAAGTCATATTTTCGAAATAACCACGCCGCGCTGTTGCAGTGCAATAATAATGGAAAGGGTATTGCATTGTTGGTTTATTTTACTTTTGATGTCTATTTATTTATTTATTTATTTATTTATTTATTTATTTATTTAATAATTGTTTCCGGGCGCGTCAACTGCTAAAGTCATTACTTTCAGAAGAATAGTACATGCTTAAACGCTGGATGATGTGGTACTCCGTTTCTGGATGACGAGATCCGGCGCCGATCTGCACGTCGGTTGCGGGGTTTTCCCCAACCAGGTATCTTTCCTCAGCGGGGCACGTTTCCAGCCGGGATTAGCTCTAAGCTCCCTACTGGACTCCTGACATATGTGGTAGTGTGGTGCATGGAAGTGAGGGGTGAGAATAGAACAAGGAAGATGAAGGAAAGATCGTGCGTGACCCATGGCCCGTTTGTTAGAGTACTGCCCCGGCATTCACCTGGTGTTGATTGGAGAAACCAGAGAAAACTACCGGTCATAGCACCTGGCCGCTAGAATTCTCCTCCAGACATCGGTTGAATTAGACCAAGCAATGTAACTATAAACGAAATCTGGCATCGTCGAGGTGGTTCGAAGTACCTCAGGGTCAGAGGCAGTGTCATTGACATAGTTAATATAATGTTATTCTATTCAATGTATTTTTATAGTGATAAAAGTTTTAAAAAATGTATTTTTTAAAATATTGTTCGTAATATGATACATCATTCTCGATGCACTAGTGTCTTGACCTATCTGAATGCTTAATCGTTTTACCGAATACCTAATTTTTAATTTTGTCAACACTTTTCGAAGTTCTGTTTTTAACATATGTATTCACCATAATAAAAAGTTAACGTTTATAAATGTAAAAGGCACCATAGTAAAAAGTTAACGTTTATAAATGTAAATTAAAAATAGAAAATGTAAAAGGCAAATTATATAAATGGAAAAATTAAAAACTTATTATTGATAAGGTAGATCTTCGAGTAATTCAGGGTTGCATACATCAATATAAAAAAAAAGATTATGTAAATCAAGCCTTAAATTAGAAATATATTCCAAAATATTATAGCTCATGTTGTATTGACAATATGTCGCCAAATTATATTTTTTCTGAATTCTGTGGACTGTCACAATTTGTATATTTTCGTATATTATTTGCGTAAAAAGAATATAAAATTATTTTATTTTAGTTCGTATTAAATGTCGTTACATTTTTGAATTTTAATTTCGAGGAACTTTTTAATATTTACAAAATACAGTACTTTTCCTGAATGATTATACATTAATATTGACTTGAACTCTTCGTAAACTTTGGCTGCAATGGTCTAATAAAAAAAGTAATATATAGAAACAATTAGGTTGTAGAAACATAAGGGTTGTGTGAAAAAGGCCCGTAGAATGGCAGGGTTTATTATGATTCTCAAGAGAACAGTATATTATATCGAATTGAAATATTACTTTGTCACGAACTCAATAGGATTTGGTACACGCTTTGAGTTGCTCTTAGCAGTCTTTGCAAGTTCTAAGATTAGTAGTCTCACAATGATTCTACATTCCCAGAAGTCTTCAACCCTAGGGAGTGTTGTAGTATACTCTAGGAGTGACTCTGCTTACTCTTATTATCAATCATTATTGTTTTCTTGCTTCTTGTAGTATCCGTATAATACTGGTTTTGCTTAATTCAGAACCCTCAAAATGCATTCTTTGTGTATTATCTTTTCAGGTGTGCTTTCATCTTCATTAATATTATGCAAAATAGGCATTGAGTTGGTGAAAAAAATATGATTCATGATTTTAGTAGAGTTTGCTATATGTCTCATTGTCTTTACCATGGATTTTGTAGCAAGGCTCAATTACATTTTGGTAACGCGTGGATTGTGAAAAATAATTGTTGGAAAAAACAGCAGTTCTTATTGGTCTCCCTAAGAAGAAGATAATCCTTATGACGGTTGGTTTCATACTGATGTGTTCATATATATATATATGATATTCAGTATATTTTAAGATTCCTGAGGATGTAGAATGATGGGCAATTGTGGGAAATTTTGTGGAGAGAATTGTACGGAATCTTTTGGAGAACCGAGATTTTGGAAGACAGGTGAGAAAATGAAGACAGGTGGGATCGAAATTATGTTTTTTGATCATTACTCTACAAAATGAAACGATTTTGGAGAATTTGGGTAGTCCCACTTTGTAGATGCAATTAAATAGAAGAAAAAAAGAGACATCTCTAACGATCAGTTAAATATCATCTTATCTGTGCTATTTTATCTAAACGAATATTAGAATGGTTTCTCTCGCACAATAAAGAAGCAATAATGATCTAAATCCCCGTTCAGGACACGAGTCTTCCAAGTAAGGATCTATTATTAAACCATTTTTAGTTTTAAGCAATTATACAGGTACTGCAACGTTTTGGATGGCTTCAGCTATTGGAATAATAATAATTATTTAAAAGCTGTGAACGTAAATACCAATTACTTTGAATCGCCGGTCGTCAAGAGGCGGGCGAGCATAAGGAATGCCTTCAAACGAGTAGTATTTCGTTAGTTGCGCTCCTGGTTGGCTGACGATTCGGCCCAGAATCTCTCCTCCTGACACCTTCACGACTGGCCCTTCCTCGGTGTCTTCTGGTGCGGCTGCAGGCAGGAGGAGCAGCGCTAGTAGAAGTGGTGCTGACTGTGAGGGTAGCTTCATGTTGCGAAGCGTTCAAGAATCTGGAAGATGATACAGAGCACGTGAATCCTCTTGGAAGATTGTCTTAGAATTATTGTTGTGCCAATAATTCTATTGTTGTTCAAAACTTTTAAGTTAAGAGAAAAATATAAATCTGTTGTTTTTTATTTTAATTACTATTGTGAATGAAATATAGTACTGCTACGTGGATTTTCACTTACGGAAATAATAGATAGCGTTTGTCGACGTTCATCAATTATTCTTGGAAATAATCGGAGGAGTATAGTTGGGTGGAACTTGTTCAGTTTTGAACAGTTGTTAAAGGATGTTCTCTTGAGTTGGAAAAATGTATTCGTGCGGTTGTGGGCAAGAAAATTCGGATGCATCAATCGATTGCGATCGTTTGCCAGTTATAATAATCTGAACTGTCTTCTCTCTGAACGTCTACTATACGTGCTACACTTTTGTGATCTCAAAAGGGAACGATAAACAATGGGATAATATCGCAGGCAATGTCTTAAAAGATGTTTAACTATTGAAAGCATTGGAATATTATAACATTCTACATCACATTGATGCTAGTGACTCAGTTCATGCAAATATGTTGCGAATATTAACTCCATTTTGCTGATATTCTAAGAAAGAGAGATTTTCATATATATTGCAACAAAGTGTGCAATAGTATGACGGTGTCATTCAATTCATTATACTACTACTTGATTTGTGCTTTCAATCCAAGACAAGCTCTGGTCGCCGGTTCTGTTGTTCCTCTTACGCCTGACCACGAAAATTTTGCTGGGCACCTTCCGCCATCTAACTGCGAAAGAAAGTATCTCTAAGGGGGCAAAACTTGCAGTAAAGAAAATCTACATGAAACAGCCGGACTTACTTTTCCTTTGAACACTTATTTGTTTTGCTTAAGGTAGTCAAATACCTTTTCTTAGATGAAATATTGTCGAGATACTTTTATGAAGACATAATATCATTCTTATGCGCTTTGCGAAGAATTGTATTTTATGCCTAAACTTTTTTATCTTCCCAGTTTCGTAATATGTTCGATTTAAATAAAATGCGTAGCCCAAATGTATATGGCGTGGCATTTGTCACAAAGTGAAAGACAAACCATTGCACGCAGCGAGCGCACAATAAATTTGATTCCGGGAGGGGTCACAAACATCAGACAGAAATCGAACCCACGATATCCCAGTAACCTCTCGATCTGTGTTGCAGGGATTGAAACTATTGGATAATGTATTTTGTAAATATTATTACTTCTATTTTTTAAACTAAGAAAACACTCGTATGCGAGATTTGTGTTGAGGTGCGGTGAGAAAAACCTGCAAACAAATACAACTATTGCCTCAAAGTATATAGGAATGATTGCAGTTCTAATAGGCATTGGAAAATAGGTTTATCTAGCGTATATGATAAAATGCTTCTGGGGGGATAAAGTCTTCTCAACACGGCATTCATTCTTGTATAACACGGTTTGTAATGGCAAAAAGAGCATCGTGGTAAAGAACGCGTACAAGTGTTTGCCTAATACATCCTTCTGAGAGATGAAAAAGCAGACGTGTCAAGTAGTTCAAGGATATTAGGAACTCCTTTAATGAACGTAAAATAACAATCCACTTACAAAAAGTCGACCTTGAACATCTTAAGTTTTAATTAACCGTACCGAATAACGTTCTGAACAAACTTACATCCCAGACATTCTTTAAAACATCCTTGCGAGTGAGATTTAATTTATTTAACGATTTTGTCCCTTACAGAACTCAAATGTCAACTGGTCTCCTTATCATTTGAGTGCGAAAACTGACTCATTTTCTCTATTTAATATTTGCACATCTAAAATATGCTATAAGGAAAATTTGAATCACAATATTGTTATCGGGAGAAAAAATTGATGAATTGAAAGTTTTGTAGAAACCTATTTTTCTTCATTTCATAATCACGTGTAACAAAAAATAGACAATTCAATTCATTTAAAAAATCATTTATTCATACTGCAGATGCGACGCAGTGCTCATACTCATCAGAAAGCTCCGTCAAGTTTTGGAGAAAATATCCAACAACTAACATTCACAATACCAAAGGAAGACACCTGCATTATCATTACTCACAATTAGTATCAGAATATTAAAATAAGGAAAAATCCCAAAGATTAATCAGTGATATTTAATATCGAAAAGCACGTATTTCTACGGCAGTATATTTTACAATATATCAATACCTTCCTGAGAATTGTTAGGCTGCAAAACGTTAATAATTTTCTTTCCTTAAATTGCGTCATTTTCTGTAAGTTTGGAATTTAATTCCCGAACATTTTTCATAATTGGAACGTTATGGTCATTTATAATAAATGTTCCTTTTATGAACAATTATTTATAGTTAATTCTTCGTCGGGGATTCTAAAGTCTTGTGAATAGTTCATTAGTCCATGAATTTCTAACTTTATCCATTGAATTTCAATACAATTAAATGTGAATGAATTATGAAGAATGATGGTCGTAACATTGACGGAATTTGAAGCGGCATCATCTGGACAGCAAGGACCATTTGATTTGATTTATTTGGTCGTAAAACAGTAAACACTGTATGTGACGTCTGGGGGGAAATATCTGCGTACGTTTCCTTCAAATCCAGAATCTCTTCCCAACGTTTTAACTATAAATTGTTGAATAATGAATAAGTTTCAAAACAACAACAACAAAACGATTTTAGAAACTTCTGAAAACTAGACATTTTGATTCCGGTTACCAGAAAACGTATTTGCATTGGTAAACGAACTGCAGATTTTAATTTTATTGCTGACTTAATAGTAACAGACCCGCAGCTCTACTCCTACCACTACTAACAAAAGTTGAGCTTAACAAAACATGCGCATAATGATGCTACATATATATCCAGAAGCAAAACCAAATGTCATCTCAGCATTTGCTCAATGAATCAGGGAAATTGATCAATAACGTGATCGAGATGCGGACCTTTGACCCAGAAGCTGCATTGGCCATGACCCTAGCTGCGGAAGCCTTCGACATCAACAATTCTGTCGTTATTTATGCCTTATTCCATGAATTGGAGAATACCCAGAGGAACAATGTGTTATTTTATTTTGACGTGTTAGCCCTAGGATGGAGTTTTCTTCAGATGCATTCATATCACGACGATAAAAACGCTTTGAATTATTGGAGAAAATCTAGAGAACTTACATTGGTCAGGACCAACAATTGTTGTTATTATTTATTTCTATTTTGGGCCCCCAAGTGAAGAATTATCCTCTTGATCTTTCTTTAATAACTTACGACGTATAGGTTGTGGTGAGTTATACCTAAGGAAAACTTCATCCTAGGGTTGCCACGTCAACAACTAAAACGTTCAACTGCTCGTTCTTGAGTATATAAAGTTACAGTAACAATTTTGATTACAAGTTACTGAATGCCTTAGTGCGCTATCAGAATGAATCAAAATGCGTCTAGTTATGTTATTTATTTATTTTTCCTACAAAAACTTTCTATTATTTTAATACATTTTCTCAAAGCTTTCGTGATATTCACGAAAAAGTAGGGAGTGCAAAATAGTGTGCTTGTATCTTGTGTTTTCGGAGTAGACCTACAGCACCTACTTTCTCGCCCGAACCGGAGAAATATTTTAGGAAACATGTAAACAGCAATTTAGCTCTTATATTGAAGGTCACGTGCGCAAAATTTCAATAACGTCGGAACAATACAGTAGGTTTGAATAAAAACAAAGAAACATTTTCTCTCTGTTGTAAAAGAAAATAATTAAAACAAATATATGAAAGAAGCGTGAATAATCTTCACAAACAATCTACTATTCTAGTTTATTCAATGTTCCCGATATTATAGGTAACAATTGAAATAACAAACAAACATAGAAAAGCAACCATTGTAAGTACTTTTATAACACGTAAATAACCACATACGATGATAAAAATATTGCTATTTTCAAATTGCAGACTCTCAATTTCATGTATGTAGATATACTGGGAAGTTGAATTTTTAAAGCCCTAAGAAAAACTATCTTACAGTATTCACATCACATTACATTGTTCACATCACACTGAAAGGATTTTGCCATGCGAATATGTAGATGGTACTGACGATGGTACTTCACACATCAACTTCACGAGAATGTTGACGGGTTTATGAAACCCGTCACTAAGCAACCCCAACACTAAGCACATCACGTGTGCCACATCAGCGTTGCTTTGGTACGATTTGTTTCCCTTTCACGCCGCTTTAATGATAGCCTCCGACGTGTACCGCTATCGAGAATGAGCTCACGATTTTGCAAGGATACCTTATCTCACTTGAGGTCTGAAGACAAGTTTGAATCATGCAGTGTACCCCAGAGAGTAACACATGTGAAATGCATTTCTGTCCAAGCACAAGCCTATTGGGAGTACGATGGAATTCTGGGTAAATGCGATTACGACAGACGAGATTGTGAGTTATAAACACCGTACTGGAATACGAGATAATATAATACGAGATAATATTAGATACGAGATAATATTAGTCATAACACAAGTTCGATGACTTACCTGCCACGCTTAGGTGACGGCTTCGGACACACTTCTGCCTGAGCGGCAGCCGTGGACTGGAATATATAGCAGTGACGTAGTCAGCGCGGGGTCGTTACATCGCGAGAACCGGAGGCTTGGTTTTTTCAGTGAGACCTTGAACTTGCGCGAGGTCTAGCGGTGTTTTCAGACGTCTCGAGAGCGCGTCGCACTTCGCTTTTATCCTCGTCTGTGAGAGGTGTTTGCAAGGCAAGGTTAGCTTTTGTAAAGAGCAATTATGGAAGTTCTCTTAACCGTAGCAACGCCAAGGTATAACTTGGTCCAGTGCACTACCGGTGGGGGACTCCGGTGCTCGTCTCTTGAATTTTGATATTGCAAATGTTTTTGACAAATCAGATAATTAAATTCGTGTAATTGATTTTATTCATATTAATTTCTTTAAGCAAAAATATTAGGTTTCTGACCGTGTCAAAGAAATATCAATCTTTTTGCATCAATATTTGTATATATTATTAAAAAGAAAAAAAATCATTTTTATTTGAAATAAGGCCAACGTCTCTTCATAATAGTGTATGAAACTATATTTTACGATTTACAAATATTCTTTGCGTTGAGTTACGAGTTAATAGCCATCAGTTTTTAATCACAGCTAAAGAAGCTGTAATAACTGAAATTATAACAAACTTGTGAAAAATTCCATACAGTTTGAAAATAGAGCATGCCAATAATTTCCAATGTCTTAACTATATGTATCATATATGACATGCAAGGAATCAACACAAATTTACATCTCGCCCATGGAATTGTGTCAATCCTTTAGAATAAAATCTGACGAAAATGGTGACTAGGGTCCGCCATATTATATTTTAGGTATTTTTATAGGCTGAAGATATTTACGCTGTCGAAACGGGTGTAAACATACGTCACACAATAATATTAGTCGGATCTGTCAGGTCATAGTAACAAAGAAACTCAGGCACACCATAATGAAAAAAAAAAAAACCATATTCCTCCTTTTTGCTTTTCGCAGTCTGGTAAAAAACAAATATGCAACTTAGAGCTACTTAATAGCCTATTCTGAGCTGGGTAAGATGAGCTATCACAATCATGGTCATCAAAAAACAAATATTTCACCTTTCATTTATACATTTCGTCTGAACTTTTACAACTATTCTACTCACAACTGCTTCACATTTTTGCCTGTGGTCTGGGAATGTGTACTTTTTTATTGATTCCTGCCGTCAGCAGTGCGTTTTTTTAAATATCGCTTCCTATTACTCATAGTTTCTTTCGTTATTCAATAATGTTGAGTTACTATTCGAGGAAATATAAAATTACGGATAGTGTGATGCAGTGATTGATTGATAAAATGTTAGGTCCCGGAATGTGCCTCAAATTAATTATGAATTTAATAAAAAGTTCCATATTTGTAATATAATTTAATCGTTATCTCCGAAATGTGAGGTACCGGAACAGCGCGCCGTTCCGTTGTGTTCCAACAGAAGTCAAGTCCTGGTAAGGTAAACAGAACACAGACGTAAGCAGAAACTCTTACTGAATGTTTATAAAGTGAAATGCGAGTTCAAAATAATTCCAAAAGCAGGAAAGGAGTCAAGTGGTACATTTGATTGCCGTGATTATGAAGCTCAGATTTTATTATTCATATTCTGAGAATCGTGGGTATACCAAGTGAATAATGACATATAATAAGTGAACAATGACATAGTTTCAGTGAAATTCTCTTAAAGTACATTTTTGTTTGTTTTAATTATCTACATTTACATCCATCCAAAATATGAATCGCAATATGAATGGCGTGCAGCTCTTGCGCAATGGTGCTGTTGGGCAATTCTTGCGCAACAAGACGAAAGACAGAAAAGGCTTCCTCATCGTGTGCCGGGACCCATTTAAGATAAAGCTTTGGTCCGTCCAAGGTTTGCTTTCAAGTACAACAACACCTTGCGGGATTTTCCAGGAAAGAAGCATACCCCACCCCCATTTTAAGATTTGAATCTGTTATTAGAATTAAAATTCTTCATTAACATCGTTAATTTTTCATAACAATTACATTAGTACAATCATACCTCGAAAACATGATTTCCCTAGTAGACATAATGTTCACATTACATTCAAAAATATTTATTTGCGAGATAAGTGTGTTTTGTGAGACATACATAAAAAAATATGGACTCTTATGATACGTTTTATTTAATTATACGATGGAATTTTGTTTCATAGATGGAAAATAAAAATATTTCAATACCACGTAAAATTCACTAGTTTCGTAACTAATACCAGCAGATCGCGTGACCAAGGAATGAAAAATTGAAGCACAAGATGGAATATAAAAAAGCGTTATTACACAATTAGCAAGAGAAGAATTATAAAACGTAACATTATAGACTCAATTTTTTTACAATGATCGCTGATACTCGCTAGAATTTCCTCATATGAGTAGAGCGAAAAGTCTTTGGTACATTGGGCTACCTGCTCAGTGTTCATGCTTCTTCAAGGTTTCGTTGTTTTGAATCACTGAATACTGTTCATTGCCTGGTCGACAAGCAGACAATATCACTGTCTGAGCAAATTTACAGATTAACTAATTCCTTCTGATGTCACACAGAACAGTGACATAATAGAAAAAATTCAACGCGCGAAGGGCGTGAGATGCTAAACGTGACGATATTGTTGTCTTGTCTTCACAGAAAAAAAATTGCACGCAATTTTTAGGGGCGTTTTGCAATTTTCCCTGTAAAGCTGACCTTTTTCTAGATGACAAACAAAAAATTCAAATTCAGCATCCCCTCCTCAGAAAACACAGAAAAATTGAGAAAAAAACAAATGTTTTCCTGAATGGGGCCTCTTTGAGCACCAGGTGACTGGACTTCTTGGCGGGTATGTTTATCTTAAACCTTCATCAAAGGAGAGTCTGGACGGTACTAACATCCCGTTATTTCGTTCATATAGCTACTTAGACCCCACTCAACCTCTTACCTGCAAGAACTGGAGTGCGGATGTAGCGAGTGGAAGCTGTATCGCGAATGGCTGTCATGCGAAACTAGTGTCGCCGAATGTATTGTCGGAATTCACGCCAGTATTGACGAAATACACGTAAATGTGTTCTTCGCTACCTCTGCGCCGTGGGGGCCTTACTTTACGGGGAACTCGTATAATGCTATTAGAAAATAGAATATAAAGTCACAGGTGTAACAGACGCTATCTCTGGTTCTCCATTGCTGCGAAATCATTTGTTACGCCATGACGCCCTTACGCCATGACGTAAGATTTTATCAATGCTGCGCTCCACAGCTGTTAGTGGACTTGCAATACTTGCAACTAATAGAAATTAATGTTCATTCGGTGGTGTAACGGTTAGCGTTTCGGATTGTCACATCCAAATTCGAGGGTTCAAACTATGGATTTTTAAGGGCGAAAACAAAATTGTCGTACGCCTTCCTGCGGAGGTGAAGTAAAGTCGGCTGTCTCATGTAGATTTACTGGATGTAAAAGACCCTCAAGTATAAATGAAAGAATAGTGGAAGAATTTGCGTCATCAGCTGGAAAAGTATGCCGCATGGCCTGAGACTCGCCACGTTAAATACGCATCATGGATTGATTTATTGATTGATTGATAAATTCTATATCAAGTAAGAGCTGGCGCAACGTCCAGAAACAGACGATTACACTACTTGTGTGACGCAGAGCAAAGAAGGTTGCCAAACTTACTTTTTTGGTTACTAATTCGTCACATATTATTTCCTTTCTGGTTTTGGAAATATAAAAGAATTTCTGTTGAGGACTAGTGATTATTTTGAAGGGGGATCACCTTAACAATGGTATTGGTACGTATGACAATCCGTGGTTTGGTTAATAAATACAAAATGTAATTTAGTATACATGGTATACCATCATAAGAAACATTTGAACATATAATGAACATCTTATATGGCCCAAAGTTTAGTTAATTGCAATTTTTTGGCATCCCTCTTATAATAAAAAACACATTTATCATGCCTCTAATAATCACCAAATCTTTTTATTAAGGTTTGAGTTTTTTCTGGGTTTACTCAATCGCTTAAGGCGTATGCCGGGATGGTCCCTAGGTTTGTTCTCCCAGACGTAAATGTACAGCTTGTCCTCCCCTCTTAAAATGTTACTATTCTAAATGTATGTAAATTCAGTGGTTAGGCGGAAGAGCAGGCCCTATGGCCTGAGCCTCGCCATTAATAAAGACATTATTATTATTATTATTATTATTATTATTATTATTATTATTAACTGTCTGGGTGGTCGAGAATGAGCTTCCCCAGAATATAATGCGATATCTCAGGAGGGAATGCATATTTGCAAAATGCACGCAACGAAGCACTTGAAGACTGACAAAATTTGCAAGAATTCAGAACGTTTACATACCGAATGTAAGTTAGTGTTTCATTCAGTTATATGGATATTTCATTTGAGGTTTGAGTGAAGAATTGATAAATCCAGAAAGGTGGTAACCTCTACATCAGCCAATTTTTTATTGTTCATTTTCAATGTTGCATGAGATTGACAGTTTTGAACGTAAAATTGCATTGGAACCATTTTCCCTTCTTTAACTATTAATTTATTACGATACCAATTTGAAAATTCTAAAATCGTAGTGTTTATATTCTACATTGCTTTAGTTTTGTTGCTTGCATTCAAAATATCCTTATCAATTTTCATTATTTTTGCCGGTGCTTCTTCGTTTCTTAAAACGCTTTTTAATTTTTGGAAGAATAGACAGAAGGCGATATATTAAGATGTATAGAAATAAAGTAAAGAGTTCTTTACAAAACGATTGCAAATAATACGATACGACCTACACTTTATTGGAGAACTACAAACGTTCCCTCCGTGGGTTAGGTGATATCTAACCGAATAGTAGGAATTGTGTAATCGTTTTGCGTTGAAAATCTCTTTCTTTCTTTTTCTCCTCTCTTTTTCTCTTTCTCGCAATTTTCTTTTTCTCTTTTATCTCTCTTACTATCACTTCTCTCTCTCTCTCTCTCTCTCTCTCTCTCTCTCTCACCCCTACACTCACATCAACACATTTTTTTACTGTTATATAT